AAAAATTAATTTTAATAAACATTTACAGATTTTGGATTTCCATTCATTCAGTGCTGCACTTTTCTCCCTGCCCACCCCTCCCCTCCAGTTCGCTCCTCTCTTTGAAAAGAAAAAAGAAAAGTTCCTTCATTGGTATACAATTCCCCCATGCCCTCCTACCCCGCACCGAGTACACTTCTCTGTGCAACCTTAATCTGGCCTCCTGTGCTAACCGTAATACTCAATCATATATCACCTTTAATTTGTTCTTTTTATTCAATAAAGTATACATAATTTATCCAGTGGACTTTTAAGGGAGAAGATTGCCTATCTGTCTCCCAGAGAAGACTTGGTGGATTCAACCACTAACCTTTTTGACTAGCAATTCAACATGCTACCCAACGTGCCACCAGAGGCCCTTATTATGAGTAAAGTGTAACTAAAACTTTCATCTGCTCTGAGAAACACACATTTGTGTGCTTTGTGGCAATACTCAATTTATTGAGGTGGCCTGGACCCAAACTTGTAGTATCTTTGAAATGTGCTTGTATGTGACTTTGATCTATGTGTTTCCACTTGAAAGGTCAACAATACTTCTCTTTCTAGGACAGAAACTGTAAGTAAGACCCTGAGAATAAAGTTAATGGAATCCATACAACAGCACCAACAGTCACGAAGCACTTCTTCACACAGTAATAATAACCACCAAACCAAGAAATGATGAATAAATATCCTTTGGGAGGCTATGCCATCATTTTAATATTTTTTTCTTACAATAAAGAGATTCAATAGTGAATTATCACCTGATGCAAAACTTAAATACATGGAGTCTGATTTGTTCAAACGACCCTCATAACAAAATAAGCTATGTACCTCTGGCTACATACCTCAGAGCAAGACACGCCCCTGCCACGCCCCCAATACACTATCTAAAAGTTTGCTTTCACATCCTTTTTCCTAGTTTATCAAAAGCAGGTCTATGGAAACTATTTTAAAAGCATAGATGTTAAGCTTGATGAGGGAATACAAAAACTTGTATTTAACAAAGACCATATTTGCAAAAAGAGATACTGATGTAGAAAAAAAGAATGCAATGGTGGATACATGACATATTCACGGCCTCCTTGGATTTTGTCAACTCAATGCTCATTGAGTTCTTCGCTTGTCCATTGGTTCAGCAAATGTTAAGTATTTTCTGTAATGAGAAATGGGATATATAGCAAAGACCAGCAGATCCCAGGCCCACCTTCAAGGTCTACCAGGCCCCTCACCCTTAATGCAGGCCAGGGCATGAGTTTTGAATCTCAGAAAGCACTGACTTGGCTTGGCCAAGTGCTAGCTTGATCTTTGGCGCCATCTACAGATCAAATGTCATTTTGCTTAGCTGTGGTTCAAAAACTGGCTTTTTCTCTCTCTCGATGAGAAAATGCAGGGTAGTTGTTGTAGGAGAGGCACTCCAAAGGACAGCTTATGGAGGAATACGTAAAGAAAAAGGAAGTGCTCCTCTTAGCTTGCCTTTCCATGGTAAAAAAGACCAAGGAAGCCCCACAAACACACACAAGGCAAAGATTCTTGAGACCACCACCTGCCCGGGGTGGGTGGGTAGGGGTATTTTGAGCTGTCCCAGACTCTCCTTGTATCCATCTAAAGTCTCCACTTCACACGTAAGTTTTCATTTCATTTCAGATGCCATTTGGCGAGTTCAGTAATTCCATCCGAGAATTCAGGAATTCCAGAGCAGTCTGAAGATTCATCAGGAAGAAGTGACAGGATGATGAGGGACAGTCCCCAAGGCTCCCACCTTTGGACAACTAAGCCCAGTAGCTTAGCTCTGTCTCAGAGGGAAGGTGGCAGCGTAGAGCCGTTTCTTTACCTCGCTGTTTGGCATCTGATGTCAAACCACCGTCTCTTGGGTCACGGCTTCCAGAGGCCTGGATGGGGACCATCTCTGAGGCGCACGGAGGCTGGGTGACAGCCTGGTGTGGACTCCTGGTGACACTCAATAGCAGAACTAGAGGCTGTGGTTGGACTCCGGGGGCATCTCAAGCTGCCCAGTGGAGACTAGGGTGCCAGGCTGGCCAGGGACGCTGCTCTCGGGTGGGAAGGTGACCAAGTCCAAGTTCTTACTCTCAATCTGGTCACTGTGCTGCTTCTTGTGGCACCTCAGAGAGTCGCCCCTGACGAAGGCGGCGCCACACGTGTCACAGCGGAAGGCCCTCTGAGTCACTATCTTGGCCACGTGGGTGGCGCTGGCATCCCCCGGCCCAGTGTGGCTGGCTGGGGCACAGTTCTCCGTGCGCGCCTCGTCCCGGTGCACCTTGTCCAAGTGCTTGGCCAGGCTGCTGGGCCGCTTGGTGTCGAAGCTGCAGAAGTGGCACTTGAAGGGCCGGTCCTTGCTGTGCACCCGGCTGTGGACGCGCAGGGCGGCGGCGCTGGCGCAGGAGTAGCTGCATTCGGGGCATTTCTCGGCGTGGTCGGCCTGGTGCGCCCGGCTGTGCTCCAGCAGGTCAGCGCGGTCCCGGCCCTGGAAGGCGCAGTGCAGACACTTGAAGGTGTGCTTGATGCGGATGTGCGACTTGAGGTTGGCCTTCATGGTGCAGCGGACGTCGCAAAACTCGCACTTGAAGGGCTTCTCCCCCGAGTGTACGATCATGTGCCTTTTCAAGTCCGAGCTGATTTTGAACTTGGCGCTACAGAGCCAGCACTGGAAGGGGGTGTCCCCTAGCAATGGAAGGTGTGTTTCCATTAGAGCAGGCAGGCAAAACAGACCTCCCCCCAACATACCTCAGAACATCTGGCCACAACCAACAGCTAGGTAACAGTCATGCCAGCTGGGTGAGGACACACGCCCTGAGACCTGCACCTTGTGCCTCCGCTGAGCATGAGGGGTGACTCAGCTCCCTGCAAACGCACAGCAATCTCAGGCAGGGGTTCTACTGCCCCCTAGTTAGCAGCTTGGAATAGCGAGGCTTGGAAATCAAATTATTTGACCAGGTCAAAGAGCAGGGAGTTGCACCCACCAAGCTTCCTGGCATCCAAATCCACTCTCTTCCTGAGGACACTGTGCCAGTTTCAAGTCTAAGCTCTCTTTTCAGTGACACCTCAAAACTGAATGTGGAAAGTGGGAGATGTGGGATTTAAGATACGTATAGTTGAAATCCACCAGCTTCTCTGAGAGAGAAAGAAAGATGGGCAATCTCTTGCCATGACATTTACAACCTCTGAAAATTTGCTGGAGGGTCAGCTATGAGTCAGTTTCCATTGTGAGGAGTGAGCGAGATGATTATGCTGGATTAAAATTTACCAACATGCTTACTGTATAAGTTCTATTTTATCAGTGTGCAGGCTTACATTACTGGTTTCATAACTGAAGTCTGAGTTTTCCCATAAAATTGACACATACTAAAGGTTAAGCAGGAGGTGGAGCAAATAATGCCAAGTCTCCTGACTTACAGTTCCACTCCCAAGAGACATTTCTAATAGATTAAATAATCATCAGCTGATAAATGAAGATGAGAGACTCAGTTATCCTATATACCCTCCTCAGAATACATTCATCCCCTCCCAATCTTCCCATGTTGCACTTTTTACTCTATCTTCTAAGCTAAGAAATGGCTCTTATCCACCAGTCCACCAGCTTCGAAGTCCCTTGAGGATCTCTCTTCTTTCCAAGTTCCAGTCTGTCCTACAGGGTCACTTTGAGGCATTACGGACTTGACTGCTATGGGTTTTGGTATTTTTTTTCCTTACGCATGTCCCTCATTTAAGAAATAGTTGTACTTTTATAAAAAGTTAGTTTGGTAACATCTACATTCTGCTATGTGAAGTCCCATGCTTCATCTGTTGTTTGTTGTTATGTGCCGTCGAGTCGCTTGCGACTCATAGCGACCCTATGTACAACAGCCCTAAACTCTGCTCTGTCCTGTGCCAATTGCACT